TACATTCTAAAAGCCAGGAAGAGAAGACCCTTGGACTGTAAGTGAACTTGGCATCTAGGAATTCCAGCCTCCAAGAACCATGAAAAAATAGATTAATATATTTTTAAAGTCACCCATTCCATACTATTTGTTATGGCAACTTGAGCAGATTCTCACAGGAAACTTTGGAAATATTAAAAGGCTGGCATGAAGAAACCTCTCTTCGCATCCATTTTTCTAAAGGGTAAAGAGATGTTAAAATAACCCAAACATCCTCAACATTAAAAACTAAGACTGCTCTAAAGGTAATAGACTTTTTGGTATTAATTGGAAGGAAGATGGTTGTTAAAGATCTCTTCAAAGATTGTCTCTGGCCAACCTTTCAAGTTTTGTTCGACTACATTTTACTGGTTAAGACAGATGTCATTTTCACCGGGCTCTCCACTCCAGCAGGCTAGCCTATGTTCTATGTGAGTCCTGTTTCCTGGAACTCTGGCTCCCCAGATGGTTTGGCTAATGCCCAAATGTGGTCAGAGAGAAGAGAGAATTACAGATAGATTATTTATTTCCACTACTCCTCTTGCTCCTTCCCTGTAAACTTGCAATGACTTAACTGTGGCTCTCAAGCAAAGAGTAAAGATCCCCTCCATATATCCACTCCCTCTTGCTGGTTACTGATCCTTCCTTCTTGTGGCCTACACAGGGTTAATATTTAGATGCCTTTCCAACTCTATCCTTCTCTGAACTCTCTTGTGGTTTCCTCTGCATGTTCAACTTTGAAAATAGCCTTTTTGAAAATAATACTTATTCGAGCTGTCCTATTTTGAGTATACCATTTGCTTCCTGATGGGACCACGATCAATAGACATTTTTACTCATACAGCACTCAGCTTAAAATACCTTCCTTCCCTCTGTCTCTCCCATCAACTCTAAACATGTTACCAAGCATGTTTGAGTGCCACTTCCCTGCTGTTAGTTTCTCTGTTACCATCAAAGAAAGAATAAACTGTTCATTATATTTTGCTCCAAAAGAATACTATGTTTAAGATAACACACACATACACACATACACATACACACACCCATATACACACACCAAGAGAGTAAGAGAGAGTGCATATACAATACAATGTAGTATAAGAATTATATTCAATAACAGGAACTTATACAGCGTATATATTTAATAACCAATAAACAGCTATAAAAGCATGAAAAGATTTTTTTAAATGATAGCAAAAGCATACACTTTTAAACAATGAACAAAGACATTTTCAAATTTCATAGAGTTTAAAAGATATAGGTATAAAATATTCTTGATGAAAATACTTGTATTGTTTAATTATTTTTGTATCTTGAATGTTTAATTTCTTATTATAGTATTTTATTCTTCAACATTTTGTTTAAAAGCTTATTTAAAAATTTAAAAAACAGAATAACTTGTGCCCTTAAAAGTAAAGGTTCGATTAATCATGTGTTTTACAGATAAACAAAGGCATCAATGGTAGATAATGGTTCTTCCTTGTTAATGTTAAAAGATAATTCATAAAAGAGACATCTTCACATGAGTAATAAAGGTCAATCTAGTGAACTCAAATAAATCTTGAAGTTCAATTTAAATCAAGACTTTTAATTACCAAGAGAGACTAAATAAGTTGAGCCTACTTTAAATTTAAAGGCCAAAAACTTGAAGACAATTGATTTTTATAGAGAATTTACCCCTAACCTCAAGGAAAGAGGTATCACTTTCCATAAGTATATAATTAACTTTATTACCATATTAATATCATAATAGCCTCTAAAGCTTGCCTTAATACATGAAATTTATAAAGGCTTCTACTAAGGATAAAGTTATCAGTTTAGAGTTAATTATCTTCAACAGTTTTTTTAAATAATAATGAAGGAAAAGTAGTTTACCTGATATTTGTTGAATGTTCTTTTGCCAATAAACAGATTTTAAAACCAATATGACAATTTAAAAGCATTTTTTTAACAAGACAGATTTACTTCATTAAGGTAAAAATACTTTTAAGGAAATCATACTCTTGCCAGTAGATGGTGGCTCACGCCTATTATCCTAGCTACTCAGGAGGCTCATATGCAAAGATCATGGTTCAGAACCTAGGGGGACAGGAAAATCTATGGGATTCTCATCTTCCAGTAGTGGTGCTATGGCTTAACGTGATAGAACACTGGCCCTAAGTGAACAAAAGCTCAAGGACAGTTCCCAGGTCCTGAGTTCAAGCCCCAGGACCCACAAAAAAAAAAAAAAAAAAAGAGGAAAAGAAAAGAATTTTTTTTTGTGAGAAAACCTGTCTTTCTTAACAATGTGTATGGCTTAAAGGTTTCTTCTTTGGCCTAGTGCCTGGTGGTTAGGATCTTGTTAAGGAAAAGAGAAACTGTACTGGAATAAGAAAGGATTTGTGAAACATGAGGTTTTTGTTGTTTTATTTTTTACTTAAACTGGTTTCTTTTCAAGACACACACTAGACTATTCAAGAAGTAGCAAAGGGTGTGGGTGGGTATATTTTGAGATCATTTGTGAGCTGTTCATCAGTATTTCAAAATCCCCTTATAGAAATAATTTTATTTTACCCTATTCAAACTAGACAATTCCAAGGAGTTTATGAACCTCAGCTCAACCAATCTGAGCAGAGAAGCAGGGCTTGCTGCATTAGAAATAATGTAGGAGCTGACTGCCTACTCTGTGTGCTTGCTTGCCAGATTTGTGGCCTATGGTGCACCCTTGTACACAGAAGTAAATTTTATTTTCATGTCTTTATTTTCATGTCTATCTTTGTGACTCCAATGGTTCTTAGGGAGCATATTTATAACACTATGATATATACCATAGTAAGAAAAAAAATCACTAAGTTTTCAGAGTAATTGGAGAGGCAACATAATTCTTAGTTTATATCAATAATAATTTATTCCTGACACACATTAAGCACCCTCCTCTAAATGCTTGCAAACAGAAAGTATTTCAAATTTCAGATTTTTTTTTGAGATTTGTACTATTTGTATATACTGAACGATCTTGGAGGTACCTAAATATAAAATCATATATACTATATTCACGTGGCCTGAAGAAAATTTATAGTGCTTTTAGTAATTTTACACATGAAATACAATGTCATGGAATAAAGTTTTCCACTGTTACAACAACGCTCAAAATGTTTCAGGTTCTAGAACATGTAAGATTTCAGATTTAGGGTTTAGGAACACTGTATTCAAATTTAATTATTTTACCACTTATATTAAGATATATTAAAATTTATCATTTTAATATTTAATTGTTTTAAAAAGGTAGTAGGACTTATAAATTGAAACCAGAGAAAAGCTACATTTGTAAGAAGTAGTAAATTCACTTTTTAAAACAAAACATGAACAGAAGCAAAAAAGACTTTTCTCATAATATTCACAAAATTATACCCTATGAACTACAGAAAAATCAAACTTCTTTTTTTTTTTAATGTTGTCTTCCAAAATAAAGTCAAGTAAGGTGAAAGGTGTTTATAATCAATTACAGCAGAAGGATTATAAGCCTCAGGCCAGCCTGGGCTTCTTGGTGAGTTTCAGGCCAGAGTGGGTATGTGTCAAGATCCTTTCTCAAAAAAAAAAAGAACAAAAAAGAAAAAGAAAAGAAAAGAAAGAAAGAGAAAAGAAAAAAAGAAGAAATACTTGAGCATTCAATCAATATTCTTTGAGTATCTTTTCTGCCTGGCACTATTCTTAGATTGAAGATACACCAGGCAAGCAAACAAAAAAGTAAAGGCCCTGTTCTTGGAGAACTTACACAGATATGAAAAAGAGATTATTTATATTGAATTTAAATCCTCTTATTACATATACTGTTGCTACTTTTTCCCATTTTACTAAAGATTAAAAAAGCTGCCATCCCATGTTAAAAATGTCTCTTCCTTCTATAAAATATGCTTTTGTGGGAACTACATTATGTGCAACAAAATTTCAATAATTTTTACTCTTAGAACTTAAACCTGAAGAAGACAAATTCTATGCATTTTGCTTTAATTATGCTTTAATTATAATATAAATACTATTAAATAAAAGAGTCAATAAAGATAATTAAGCCACCAAATCCATCATGATAATTAGCAACAGAAGGGAAAAGGATATAGACATGCAGAACCAGAACATATAATTATATGAGCATGATTAAAATCAAGTAAAAGTGAAAAAAATGAGATAGTTTCTTATCCAAAATGTTAAATCTATACACCAGACATAGGATATACTAACATCCCCTCATGAGAAGTCAGGCATATATGTTCTACTGATGCTGAATTCAGAATCACATTTTCAAAGCAGCAGGAGTGTGAAGGATGATTAAAAGAGCCTAAAACAGCAAAACCCATATCAGAGACCAGAAAGGGAGAGATTAGAAAATGCACTTCCTCCAAATGCAGGAGCTTCCAATACAGTATCCTCTCCTACATTCTGATGGCTTACTGCAGTATTAATTTTATCTTTACAGATTACAAAAAATGTCCTATACACATCTGTTGATTAGGACATGGGTTTCATTTTTATATTGAACTTTCTGTTCACAAAACTAAACTATTGAAATTACTGAAAGTCAATTTTGTTGATATCCTCTCTTAAATTTGCCTCTTTTAAAATATTCAGTAGATGTTTCCCAATATTATCATATATCATTGATTACACATTGCTAACACATTCCAGTATTTGGGATTCTGAAGACAGGATAAAAGAAAATGGTTAAGTTCAAGTAAAAACAAGAGAAAGCACTGGTGGCTCACACCTGTAATTCTAGCTATTCAGGAGGCTGAGATCTGAAGATCATGGTTCAAAGATAGCCCAGGCAGGGAAGTCTGTGAGACTCTTATCTCCAATTAATCACCAGAAAACCAAAAGTGACGCTTTGGTTCCAGTGGTAGAGCACTAGGCTTGAGCTGAAGAGCTGAGGGAGAGCCCCCAGTCCCAGAGTTCAAGTCCCATGACCCACAAAAAAACAAAACCAAAAACAGGAGAAAGAAACATACCTTTAATTTGGATCCATGAGGTATCAGTGGAGATTTATTCTGCTTTGGTGGAATATGCAGCTCCCATTTTCCATATTCCACTTTTTTATATGGGTAGGAAAATGGATTCCAACCATCTAAAAAAAGATAAAATATCAGTTTTAACAGCTTGATAGAATAATAAATTTTAAGCAAAGCATGGTGTATTATTAGTACAAAATCTAGTTATCTGAAAATACGTTATGTGCTAATAAATTAATAAATTTCAACTACCCACTTTGTAAATCTAAATTTGGAAATCATCTGAAAGCCTATTTTTTGCTTCCTAAAATTAAATAAAGACTACAACATTTTCAACTACACTTTCAACTTTAATATATGTATCAACAAATAAAATATAAGTGAATATACAAGATGCAGGGTACCAGAATCAAATACAGGGAAAACAGGGGTTATATCATGGGGGAAGAACATACAAAAGAAACAACAAAAAAAAAAAATCACATAGTTATTATCAGGGCATTAAAAAACAACAGCAACAGAGGAGGAGTTGGGGAGGTGGGAAGTGAAGGGATGGTAGGGGAAAAACAAAGGAGGTAGTAACAATGCTCGATAGGAAATGTACTCATTACCTTACTCATGTAACTGTAACACCTCTGTTCAGTATCTTTACAATAAAAATATACCTTAAATATACACATATATATGAAGGTGCTAGGTAGGCTCTTTTGAAAGAAACACTATCAACAAAACTATGATATGAACAAAATGAAATTCATTCTGGGAAATTTGGTAAGACATGCCCAGGTAGAAAACAAGATTTTTTTTTTTTTAATTAACTGAAATTATATGCATAAGAGAAGAAAGTTCAGTTGAAACCTGAAAGAATTCCTTAAGTAAGAAAGGTAGTTAGATAACTACATGAGGTTAAAAAAAAAAGCTGTATTGTAAATCTACAAAGCTATACTATAGATCTACGTAGTTCAGTTTGCACATGTGAAAACGCCATATAAAATATGGATGCATTGATAATCAGCTTACATTATTTAATAACTGGTGCTGGGATAATCAGCTATCCCTACTTAAAAAATGAAATAAATCTAAATCTAATACTAACCCCAAACATATTTAAATATGTTTAATCAAATATTAAATATTTTCATCAAAATAAAAATTAGTATTTTAATCAAAAACATTAATGCACATTCAAATATCAAAAAACTATACTGTATTTAAGAAGAAAAAGGAGAAAAATATTTGCAATCTTGAGATTCAATGAGAATTTTTAAAGAAGACTCAAAAACATTCTATTAAAATTGAAGTTAAAACTGATGTTGACTACCGCAAATTTCTCTTTAAGGAAAAAGCCACATAGGATGGCAAGACAATTTACTAACTGGATAAACACATTTAGGAAACTGTAAACAAATATACAAAGAACATTGCATGTCTATAAGTTAAAGGAAGGAAATCAATAGAAAAATGAACAAAGATTATATTCAAAGAACAACATTTCTTTATTTAAGGTGAGTGGAGTGTTATATATACGTATGTTAACTGTATTACTCTGTATTTGCTGATGCCCAAAAACTTTAATAATATAAAAACAAAACAAAACAAAACAAAAAAAGCAGTCTGGAGATTCACATTGTGGATATTCACCAACATTTGACTTTCAACCAAGCAAAGAGAGACATAAGAATCATGAAGCTCTTCTCAGCATGATTTCCTCCTTCACAACTAACTCCATTATCCTGGGTATCTAAGCACATTCACTTTATTCTGAACAATAAATGGGGTTTGTCTTTTCTGTGGAGTGAAATGTGTGGAACAGCCTTTGCTGAAATATTGAGAATTATTTCTACTATAACCCGATTTTGTTTTCAGAAATTGAGCAATATCCAGTGATTGCATTGTTTGGGGTTATTTTTAAATTGATTAAAGCTTCCACTAATTATGTCACACTTATTGAATGAATAAAAGGTATTAATCTCTGTTCTTAGATAGAAGAATTCAGATACGGAGATCTGCACAAAATGACTTACCTTTAAATATAAAGAACCATGGAGAATGTCCTAAAGCCGGGCGCCAGTGGCTCACACCTATAATCCTAGCTACTCAGGAGGCTGAGATCTGAGGATCGAGGTTCAAAGCCAGCCCGGGCAGGAAAGTCCCTGAGACTCTTATCTCCAATAAACCACTAGAAAACCGGAAGTGGTGCTGTGGCTCAAGTGGTAGAGCGCTCGCCTTGAGCTGAAGAGCTGAGGGACAGCACCCAGGCCCAGGGTTCAAGCCCCACAACCCAAAAAAAAAAAAAAAAAAAAGAATGTCGTAAAGGCGGTCAGACTACCTCACAATAGAAAACTGCCCTATAAATGTTTATCTGATTTGGAAAAGGGAAGGGGAATAACAAAATAGGGTGAACCAATGCAACAGTGATATTCATAAGACACTATGATGGAAATGAAATTTACAAGCTTGAGGGCGCAGATTGGAAGGGAGTGGGAGAAAACAAGGGAGGAGGTAACAATGTTTGACAAGAACCGAACTCATTACCTTACTTGTGTAACTGTAACCCCTGTATATCACCTTTACAATAAAATTTAATTTAATTTAAAAAAAGAAATATAGCAACAAAGGCAGGATTATCATCTTTTGACCTTACATTTCAAATGCATCTCCCCTTTAAATGCTGATTGGGGGAGGGGGGGGGTCGGTCATGGGGCTTGGGCTTGGGCATTGTCCCTGTGCTCTTCAGCTCAAGGCAAGTGCTCAACTGCTTGAGCCACAGCACCACTTTCGGTTATTTAGTGGTTTATTGGAGATAAGTCTTATGGACTTTCCTGAGATTATTTTTAACAAAATATATTCTAAAACTTGAAATGTGAATTTTGCACTAGATAGCCAGCCAGCAAGCCAGACAGACAGACAGACAGACAGATAGATAAAAATGATATATATATATGAAAAATTATATGGTCCTTCATTTGTTCATTTATTAATTATATACTATGTGCCTTATGTAGGTTCTGCTCAAAGGGAACCTAAAATTCATGTTCAAAATTAACTGTATCTCATGAAGAACAAATTAAACTGTGTAACAATACAACAAAGTAATAAAAATGCATAATTGAGTGCCCACAAAATTGGAACTATGAATATTACTATTAAAAACTTCCAATAGGGGGCTGGGAAGGTGGCTCAGTGGTAGAGCACTTGCCTTGCATGCCTGAGGCCCTGGGTTCAATTCCTCAGCACCACATAAGCAAAAAGCAAAAAGCTGGAAGTGGCACTGTGGCTCAAGTGGTAGAGCGCTAGCCTTGAGCTGACCAGCTGAGGGGCAGAGTTCAGGCCCCAAGACGGGACCCAAAAAACAAAACAAAAACCTCCAATAATATGTGAAATGTATATATGTAGATTTTTTTAAAGCTACTATTAGCATGTGGACACATTTTAAATATCAGTTGAATTATTCCTTTAGCTGGCCATCATTTAAACATTTAGGTCTGCCTAAAAATGATAGTCTGGGTTGGGAATGTGGCTTAGTGGTAGAGTGCTTGCCTAGCATGCCTGAAGCCCTTGGTTCAATTCCTCAGTACCACATAATCAGAAAAAGCTGGAAGTGACACTTTGGCTCAAATGGTAGTGCCTTGAGCCAAAAGAAGCTCAGAGACAGTGCCCAGGCCCTGAGTTCAAACCCCAGAACTAGCAAAAGAGAGACAGAGAAGACAGAGACAGAGATCTAGTCTGTTTAAAGAAAAATACATTTATTACATTCTACCTCATATGGTAGAACACTTGTCTTGAGTGAAAAAGATAATGGAGAGTTTGAGGCTGAGTTCAAGCAACAGTACCACAACAGAGAAAAATAAATAAAGCAAAGGGAAACAACATAAATGTAAATTAAAGAAAAATAAAAGTTGCAAAAGCATATGTCGGTTATTTGAAATTCTACATTAAAAAGATTTCTTTCTTCAAGACTTGGATTTGAGTAACACTTCTACTCCTCATGGATTCACAGGTGTTCACTTGTAGGCCAGCTATCTGGCCCCTTTTTGATGTCCTCTTTGCATACTTTTACTATCTAGGTAACATTCAAATCTATGGATTTTAAAACTGTCACGTTAATTAAACTGTTGAGTCATTGTGAAAGCAACTTTTCACTCAGAGTCAGATGCCTTAAAAAGAGACTACTGCTAACTTCATTTTTGACTATCTAGAGATGTTTTGTATAATAGTCTTATCAATGGGTTTAATTAAAAATATAGGTGATTGATAGTGAATAAAGCATAAAAATTTTTGTCCCAAAACAGTGATAGTAAGGCATTCAAGTATTAATACATCAACTCACATTCCTTTCTCATTTTTTACTAGAATTTAAACATTGCAATGTTTACAGTTAGTACCCCCAAAGCAATGTATACTCACTGTTTTAGTTCAAGTAAGATTTTAAGAATATGTTTCCTGTTTGCATAAATTACTTATTGTAACATTTTATCAAATACTGGATGTTTATCAAGTTAGGATAAAGTACATATTTTAATCCACATAGTTTAATGAGAATTTTCTCATTTACAGACTTTAACTCATCATCATATTTGAAAATGTAAAACACTCATTTATTTACAGGCTCAAAACCATCAGATAAACTTTAAATTAAGATATGGAAAAATATGTAATGCACAGTTTAATATGAACTGTAAACACACATTTGGCACAGGAAGGCCAACATCAACTAAGGTCATTGCCGCAGGCACACAAACTACATTTATCTCATAGCCAACAACCTTTGTTTTCCTAATTAAATCATCTAAACATAAATGTTTAAATGCCAGCCTCCTTCAAATACCTTCAGCCTTTTTTCTCTACCAGTAGAATACTGTTCAGTACTTTTTAGCTACATCATTTCTGTAGTTCTTAAGCCTACTATTAATTTTTCTTACATGCTGTTGAGATAGTTCTAAAGTAAGGACTACAGATGTTGCTCAGTGACAGAATGATTGGGGGGGGGGGGGGGGGCAGTGGATCTATACACCAGCACAGTAAAGGACAAAATGTAAAACAAATCACTAAACACAACCTTCCATTCTCCAATAAAATTTCAACATGCTGAAGAGCCCAGACTGTGCTTGGGCAA